CACTACTACGACATCGGTTACCTTGTTGCCACATAAGTATGGTAACGGCCAGAGGTGTGTATTTATATGCATTTTATAGAGTTGAAGTATTTAAATGGGAAAGTTCTAAGTTCATCTACCGGGTTGACAAGCAGGTACAAGTTTAAGTGGCCCGGAAGTCTTTTTTCAGTATTATAAATTAAAACACTTTCAAAATATTATTATTTATAGCCATTTTTTATATTTTATCGCAAAATACAAATATATACAACTTTTTCCTCAAACCTCTCTCTTCTCCTTCGACTCTCTCTGTTTCTTGGTATCTCGAAGTAGGAAAGAAGATCTTGGTTGTCGAGTTTGATCTGCTGGAATGAAATAATTTTTCATTACAACCCTGGTAATAAAGCTAACTTGATAAATGTTGGTATGTCATTAAAAATCTCAATACAGCGAATACGGTGACATATATCCATGACAAACAATTATTAGCTACGGAATATAATTAGCTAAATTATAACTACGCTCAATAATAAGTCTCCAAACAATAGTTATTCATGAAAGTTCGTTTTTTTTCTTCGGTAATTGTCACAGATATTCGGCTGATAGTGGTGATGCACTCTCTTTTTTCTTTTCTTTTTTATACATTTTATTTTAATTTTAGTAGCACGTGTGGAGTAATATTAAAATAATACCTTATCCTGACCCCACGCTCAGAAGAAAAAGATTATTCTAAGTAGCCGTTTGGACATTAAAAAAAATGTGAGATTTGAAAAAGGGAAAAAAAAATTGAAGTTAAGTTGAAAAAAATATTTGAAAATCGAAATTGTGTTTGGACATGCATTTTACTTGAAAAAATATTGTAGTTTTGTGAGAGCTAAATATTGTTTACTTGAAAAAGAGGTGAAAATTAATTTTTCAAAATTGAAACTAAGTGGGCGTTTGGACATAAGAATTGTAAAATTCCAAAAAAAAGTGAAAAAAATTTCAAGTGAAAATGATATTTGAAAATTAGAGTTGTCTTTGGACATGAATATAATTTTGGGTTGTTTTTAAAGTTTTGTGAGTAATCTGAGTAAAAATTTTGAAAAATAGTTTTTTGGAGTTTTTCAAAATTTCGAAAAAATTCAAAATGCATCTTCAAGTAAAAATTGAAAATTTTATGAACAAACGCTGATTTCGCAAAAAAGTAAAAAAAAATTAAAAAAAAGAAAAAAATTCTTCTGTCCAAACGGACTAACTTTTTAAAACTCATCTTCAAAAGTTCAGTTAAATGTATAACCAAACAATGATTTGAAAATATTCTTTGGAAAAACAAATACTGTCCAAACGGCTCCTAAGTAAGTTTGGATTTATGTGAATACAATATGAGTCATAGGAGAATCCAATGTCTCAACAAAACAAAAATTGTTCATAAACCACACAATGAGACGACTATTGAGTAAAAGTTTGTTCTTTTTTTGCTGCTAATTTATTTCATATTGTTAATCTCCAGAACATCTAATATTTTATACTTGTAATTTATTAAACAAATTTTAAATTGTTTTATGGAAAAAACCTGTTGGAAGTATGCTTTCTATTTACGCTTATTTCCACCTTTTCCTTCAATTTAAGGTGGAATTCTCCAATTGCTTTGTTTTCTTATTGTTTAAAGATTCTTGGTAGCTAGTTCCTCTATAGGATCGAGGACGAACCATTGATGCAAATAATTACTAAATAATTGTGCTTATTTCAAGTAAATTGAGATTGACTATATAAATTCTCAAACTACGCTAATGTTATGCAAAATGAGAAGAAAAATAAAAAGTACTACGAGAAAATAAGAAGTAATTAATACTACTGGGATAGTGAAGAACCATTTGATGTTTTTCTAAAATATTGTCTTATCTTATAAAGTTTGGATTAATTATATCTAAGAACGCATAATGCAACTTATTTAATTACTGAGATTTTTGTGATTCTCTTTTCTTTTTTTTCGTATAGAAATCGTTTAGCCCCACTTGCATCTATTTATAAATAATTATTATTTATTGCTGCTTGATATATTTAACTGAATTAATTAGAGTTTATGCACTTCCATTATTATATTCAAATTCAGCTATTATACCCTTTCAACAACATCCCTTCTACTTTTAATTAATTTATCTTTAATCCAAATTATTACATTCTACAACTGGCCATTATTAATCTAAAAGTTGCCTTCTTATTTGATTTTCTTGCAACTGATAACTCTTGGCTGGGAAATTTAATGGATAGGTCAACATTGACATTTTATCTTCTTTTTAATGCATTATATTTTTATTCGTTTTAGCAGACTAAGCAGAAGGCAGAAAAAAGGCCATTATTTAAATGTAGTTTGTCTAAGTAAAAAAAAAATATTTTTATATTATCGGGTTACTTCAAAGCCATTTACATGTAAGTTTTACAATATTAAATTTAAAACTTAATAAAATAATTTAGTAGCCATAGAAATATTATGATTTGTTTAGACCAAAAAATTTCAAAGATTGTTTTATTTTTATATTCGTTTCCAATTAAACATCGTCACTTAAAATGAAAAAAAAATTCTTATCATATAAAAAATATTTATATAAGTTACCCTTGATCAAACCGTGAAAATAATCTCTCGCATAAATAAGGGGTAAAGCTGCGTACACTAAACCCTTGTGGTCCCACTCTTTCTCAAACCCGGACATAACGAGACATTAATACACCGGAGCAACCATCAAATCAAGTCAATGCAGTGGACCTCCTTATAGGACCCTCGTTTTCAATTTGGTAAAAATTGTGACCGACACATTTATTTCCTTACATTTTTAGTACAAGCTTCTTGAATACTGTGTTAGGTGAACAATATCCTAATTAGACCCTAACATTCAAGAAATTAATGGAACTTTTTCTTTCTTAATCTCTCTATTTATTTCATTAATTGTTTAATTGTGATTATGAGGGTCAAAAGTGTCAAAGCCTACTAGACTAAACCAAAATCATTGGCAACCGTGTTTTTAGCTCTTTCACAAGTTAAAATGACCGTTTTTCTGCCATCTAACCAATAATAATAAAAGTTAAAAGAATATATTCTCTCCAGGATATTCGTTTTGCTCAAGGGACGAAGCTGCAATATTACGAATAGTTCGAATAAATTCAGTAACTTTTATTTAGATTTTGTATTTATATTAAAAAATATTATATATATATAAATATTTAAATATGATCAATCTATCACGTAGTTAAAACGAACCAAAATTTAATGATAAGTTCATAATTCATAAATTTTAAATTCTAACTTAACCTCTATTTTGCTTAACTTGTGAAGTTGTTTCCCCCCTTTTTCTTAATACAAAAGTACAAATAAGAAAAAAGATAATGTGGATGGGGTTGAATGAATGCACCTTAGATATGAAATAATTTAATTAGTAGTAACGCAAACAATGATATAGTAGTTCTTACATGGAAAGTTCCCCTTCAACTATGTTTGCAAAAGGAAAGTGTTCCTTAGCTTGAAGCTTATACTACTTAGTATGATTTTTTTATTATATATACCATAATCAAGATTCTTGTTTGACTTTGTGTTTTAAGTCGTCATTAATTAAAATAAGATCCACCATAGAATGGTTTCATTAACAAAAGCTCAATATCTAAACTTGCATTTGCTGCTTCTTGCCTCCATTATATTATATATATAGGTTAAACTAGAACCCGGTAACTTATAAGGATTAGAATTTCAAACCCATAAACTTCAAATTCTGGCTCCACCTTTGTTCGTAATTCTTCTTAAATACGTTCGATCGACAAAAGCTACATATTTAGCTAACAATGCAATCCTCATGGACCTACTTCATAAACCAATATACATTGGCTCCAAATTTGAGAAACCAGTGATAGTCGATCCACTTTCTGATGCTTGAGCGATGATCTCAAAGTAATGTAGTAGTATTTTCCATGTCTGTTAGATTACACTATGATTTGGGTAAATGAGAGGTAATTGTAGAACTAACAAAAGAATCAATACTAAAATGAATTAATGATTAAAAGTTTTTCCTTTTCTTTTTCTTGTAACTGCAAAATAGATAAAGTATAAAGTTGTTGTCTAAACAAAAAAAGCCTCCTTTTGGACGCAGTCCTCCACCAGAAACAGCCAAATTTCGTAGTGAAAGCAAAAGAAGAAGGCCTTTAAATGAGGCAAAAAGCTTAAACTATAACGTACAAGCTATTAAAAAGGTAGTTATCTTAATGGCTGCAATAATATTTTTGGAATACTTTGTTTATTTTAAGGAAGCTAGAAAAAGAATTAGTCAGCCTAAATTCATACGCGCAATTGCAACTCTTTCTTTTTTGTTATTAATTATTCTGATGATTCGGATCAACTTATGTGGCTTTTTGTTTTTTAAATGGATTTGCTACTTTTCATTAGTATAAGTATGAAATAATTCTGTCCAAAGCTTATAGCTTGTTTGCATGGTTATTATGCATCATATAGTATTGTACTATTATATTGTATCGTTTTGAATTGTACAATTTTGAAATAGGTTATATTATTTGTAATTGTTTCATGTTCTCATGCACCAACAATATGAATAAATTTGTAATATTATTAAAAAAAAGTAAGGTACGAGATAGAATTATTATATAAAAAGATAAGATAAATGATAAAATAAAAATATAATAATAAAGAAGAGCAAAATGAAAGAAAAAATAAAGTAATGATACAACCATCCCAAATTGGTCGTTCCATAAAGTGACACTTTTCGTCATTACGTAACAACGAATTTAATTATACGATACAATAAAATTTAAGTAACAATTAAAATAAATATTATATTTAATGTAATAATACGATATAATAACAACGTGAAATTCTCTATTACTAAGATGTTAAGCTTATAAGAAAAATTACTTAATTTTATAAAATCTATTATGATGAATTCAAAACCTCATAATTCTCTATTCACTTCATTGAATATGCGCAATTGCAACTTGAAAACAGCATTTTTAGAAAAGTCAGTTTACTTTTTTTTTTTCTTCTTTTATTATTTAGTCATCTCTCTCTCCCCCCTCTCTTCCACCTTCCATCCCTCCAATCTCCATCTTTCTCCTAAGAATCTAACATTTCTGTATCAGGGTCTCTTTCATATTAAACAGCCATTGCTATATTTTATTTTCTTGAGTTTTTTCATCTAAAAATCCAATCTTTGGTCCATTTCTGTATATGGGGGTATTCCCATATTTTGCCTTTGTAATATTTTCCTTTTAAATTTGATCCCTTTCATTGTATTTTCATATAAAAATCCAATCTTGGTCCTTTTCTCTTGTTTTTATTCTTCTTACTCTGGAAATTTGGAGCTTTTTTGACGAATTATAATACCATTTTGGTGTTTTTTGTAGTATAATATATATCAAAATTTATTACTTCTCAACACCCATTGACCTAGAAAAGTCAATTCTTATTAGTTTGCAGCCTTTTGCAAATGTTTTATAATAACCATTTTTTCTCTTTGGTTAATTGAACTCGTACCATTCTTGATCACACATTTGTATTCAATAAAAATTTGATCTTTCTTGTTTTTCAATCAGTTTCTTGTTAAAAATTTCAACTTTTGTTGGTGGGGTTATGTGATTTTTTTTTTTGGGGAAAAAATATGAAGCTTTTAGTAAGAGTAATTGAAGCAAAGAACATACCAGCAATGGACCCAAATGGATTTAGTGATCCATATGTGAAATTATCATTAGGAAAACAGAAGTTTAGAAGTAAAGTAGTGAAAAAATGTTTAAATCCTTCTTGGTGTGAGGAATTTGCTTTTAGAGTTGATGATTTGAAAGAGGAGCTTATTATTTCTGTTTTAGATGAAGATAAATATTTCAATGATGATTTTGTTGGACAAATTAAATTTCAAGTGTCTCAGGTTTTTGAAGCTAATGATAAATCACTTGGTACTGCTTGGTATACTTTGCAACCTAGGCATAAGAAGGCCAAAAATAGAGATTGTGGTAAGTTTTTTTACTTTTGTCTTTCTTTTTATTCTTGATGATTTTTTGAGTGTTTTTTTTTTTTGAATGTTTAAGCTGATTTTGGATAAGAAATGTTTCTTTATATGTTAGAATATATGATCTTTCTTTCCATTTTGATGATGGCTTATGTGGTTGGATACTGTGAGTTTTAGTCATGTTAGCAATTTTACTCTACATCCTATGCATTTCTAATAGTTGTTTAGCCTTTCAGAGATTTGTACATAAGTAGAAAACGATCAAAATATATAGAACTTCTAGTACGTTTTATTTATAATTTTATTATTATTTTGTATTTTGTATAATATTGGCCTCTGAGATGAGTTTAAAAGGAGTAACGTGGTCAGTGAGAATTCATATAGTCGACCTCAACTTGTTTGGGATTGATGCGTGGTTGTTGTTGTTTCAAGTATTCTTGGCCTTCTGTTGTATGATATTATCAAATGCTTCTTTCAACTAGTCCAGATATTTACAAATTACAGATATATACTCTTATGATTGGGCTGCGTCTGCCTGTACCATGACATCTTAAAGATGGAATATACCAGCTTTATTGAATGATCTTTGATCGAATTCAATGTATCAATGATAAATAGCATCTCTTTTGTGGTTTGCACAGGTCGGTTGAGGATTTAATTGTGTTCTTCCTTTCTAATAGGTCAGATTCTTCTCACAATATGTTTCTCGCAAAGCAGTACATTGGCGGACATGCAGTCCGCTGGTGATCATGGACCACCGTCGAAGAAGTTGCCTGATGTGCCAACTGAACCTCCATTTTTGTCTTCTAATGGCTCCTTGAGATCATCTTCTCCTCTGAGATCCGAAGAAGCAGCCTCTGCTAAGGAGGAAAAGCCTCAGGCGCAAACCTTTGCTGGTCGACTTGCTCAAATTTTCAACAAGAATGGGGATGCAGTATCCGCGACTAACGTGAAAGCTCCAGATATAACAGTGACACCTGAAAGTGCCAGTACAGTAGCTTCTGAGAATGCACAAGAGGAACAGTCCACATCGGGAAACTTTCAAGAACTAATTAAAAGCATGGAGGCAAGAGAACAAGGAAGCGAAATTTCAAACCTTCCTGGAGTAGTAGTCGATCAATTGTATGCTATTGCCCCGCATGAATTGAATTCATTCCTGTTTTCACCGGATTCAAACTTCTTTAAATCCTTAGCAGATATTCAGGGATCCACGGAGTTGCGTATTGGACCTTGGAAACTTGAAAATGGTGGTGAGAGTTTAAAAAGAGTGGTCACTTTTACTAAAGCTGCAAGTAGATTGGTCAAGGCTTTAAAAACTACAGAGGACCAAACGTATCTTAAAGCTGATGGGAAGTCTTTTGCTCTTTCAGCTATTGTGAGTACCCCGGATGCCCCATATGGAAGCACTTTCAGAACAGAATTGCTTTACAACATTACTCCTGGTCCTGAGTTGCCTTCGGGAGAGCAGTCTTCGAGGTTAGTAGTGTCGTGGCGTATGAATTTCTTGCAAAGCACTATGATGAAAGGCATGATAGAAAATGGTGCACGGCAAGGTATTAAGGAGAGCTTTGAGCAGTATGCAAACTTATTATCTCAGAATGTAAAGCCAGTTGACGCAAAGGACATAGGTTCAGAGAAAGAACAGGTTTTGGCATCTCTAGAAGTGGAGCACCAGTCCGATTGGAAGCTGGCTTTCCAGTATTTTGCTAATTTTACTGTAATATCAACCTTTTTCATTGGGATATATGTGTTTTTGCACATCTTGTTGGCAATGCCTAGCACAATACAGGGGCTTGAGTTTGTTGGCCTTGACTTACCAGATTCTATTGGTGAGGTAATTGTGTGTGGAGTGCTAGTACTTCAAGGAAAACGGGTACTGGAGCTGATATCACGCTTCATGCGAGCTAGGGTACAAAAAGGTATACTATTATTAGTTCCCTGTTTGGTTAAAGATGGTATGAAGAATCCATCAAAATTCAACATATATCATCCAGACATCAGAATTAGGTGTTTTCTCTCGGTTCCTCATTCTTAGCTGTCACAGCATGTTTGCTATGGATACCATGTGTGGTATACATTGTTTTTCCAAGGTTTTGATGTGTTGTATCGTTGATACTTTAACCAGGAAGCGACCATGGTGTCAAAGCACAAGGAGATGGCTGGCTGTTGACCGTTGCCTTGATTGAAGGAAACAATTTGGCAGCTGTTGACTCAAGTGGCTTCTCTGACCCATATGTGGTGTTCACATGCAATGGGAAAACTAGAACCAGCTCAATCAAGTTCCAAAAGTCTAATCCCACATGGAATGGTATATCTTTATCTTTTGGGGGTTCTATTGTCTTTATTTGAAGTTCTATAGTTGCCGTCATTTGAGCATTTATACAAGATCTTTTCCATTGGCTTTGATTAGTGGTTTGAACCTCGTTACATGCAGAAATATTTGAATTTGATGCAATGGATGAGCCGCCATCTGTTCTGGACGTAGAAGTGTTTGATTTTGATGGACCTTTTAGTGAAGCTACATCTCTTGGGCATGCTGAAATCAATTTTGTCAAAACTAATATAACAGATTTGTCTGATGTTTGGGTTCCTCTTCAAGGAAAGTTGGCTCAAGCCTGCCAGTCTAAGCTGCATTTAAGAGTTTTCTTGAATAATACAAAGGGTACCAATGTTGTCAAAGACTATCTGTCTAAGATGGAGAAGGAAGTTGGGAAGAAGGTAGATCATCTATTTCTGCAGTTAATGTTATATGGCCAATGGATCTCGTTAAATGTGGGGATTTAATTTTCTTTATGAGTCCTGCTGAACAGTGTCTGAATTATTTTTGTAGATAAAATTACGATCTCCTCAGACCAATTCAGCATTCCAAAAGCTTTTTGCGCTTCCACCTGAAGAATTTCTCATCAATGATTTTGCATGTCACTTGAAACGCAAGATGCCTCTCCAGGTAGCTAATGTTTATTGATTCTTTGTGTTGATAAATCATTGAATTTGCTGTTGAACAGTATCTTTAGTCTTTACTGTACTTCTGCATCAGTTGGTCGGGATTATTAATATTATCTTGTCAAAGTTGTAAATGAGTCTCCGCCAACTTTGTGAGCTATGATGCTTTCTTTATTAATGCACCTATTTGTAATTTCTTTTGGTTCAGGGCCGACTATTTTTGTCTGCAAGAATAATTGGGTTCCATTCTGATCTATTTGGACATAAGACCAAATTTTTTCTTCTTTGGGAAGATATTGAAGACATTCAAGTTGAGTCTCCTACTTTGGCGTCAATGGGTAGCCCGAATGTTATCATGACTTTAAAGCCCGGTAAAGGTTTTGATGCAAGGCATGGTGCCAAGACTCAAGATGAGCAAGGCAGGCTGAAGTTTCATTTCCACTCTTTTGTCTCTTTCAATGTGGCTCACAGGTGAGTGCGTCACCTCTTTATGAGCGGTTTGTCTATTTTGAACTAGTATTTCGTGTAGGAAACTTCAAGGAGAAAAAAAACTGTTGTCAGATAAAATGCTGGGTTTCTCATATGAGCAGCTTATAGTGATTACGAGGAAATTTAATTCTTTTGATCTATGTATCTAGGACTATCATGGCATTGTGGAAGGCAAGAGCTTTGAGTCCCGAGCAGAAGGTGCAGTTAGTTGAAGAAGAGTCCGAAGCTAAAGGCCTTCAAATGGCAGAAGAGGATGCGCTAAGCAGTGACTTCCAAGCTGCAGATGATGACTCTGAAGGAAAAAGCCTTCAATCGGAAGAGAGTGGATCATTCGTGGGTGTGGAGGATATAAATATGTCTGTAGTTTATTCCTCTGTACTTTCAGTTCCAGTGAGTATCCCCCCTGCCTTTCCTTTTGTTCAAGAGATTTTGGGTGTTAAATATATTTGATGGATTTTGGTTGAGATGGGATTACAGGCCTGCATGTAGCGGTGGTTAAATTGCTCACCTCTGTCAAAACCTGCCCCAATTATAGTTAGACTATCTGTTAATTGCTCAATAGTTATAGTCCGGCATCTGAGCATGTGAAATAGGAATTCTTAATTACGTTTTACATTTCTTGCTCAATATCTTGTTTTGGTTGTTTGCAGACGGACTTTTTCATGGAGTTATTCAGTGGTAATGAACTTGATCGTAAGATCATGGAGAAAGTCGGCTGTCTTAATTATTCTTTTAGTCCCTGGGAATCTGAGAAGCCTGATGTGTATCAGAGGCAACTTTATTATAAATTTGATAAGTGTATATCCCGTTATAGAGGTGAAGTTACAAGCACGCAGCAGAAGTCTCGCCTTTCTGATAAAAATGGTTGGCTCGTAGAGGAAGTCATGACTCTTCACGGAGTTCCACTGGGTGATTTTTTCAATGTAGGGACATTTGTGATATGTCATTTTTCTTTCCATTTAACATCTGCTCACAGTAGGCTAAGAGCTTCTTGTCTGTATATTGCAGCTTCACCTGAGATACCAGGTTGAGGTTGTCCCCTCAAGATCGACGAGATGCAACGTTCAGGTACATCTGGGAATTGCTTGGTTGAAATGCTCGAGACATCAGAAAAGGATCACGAAAAACATAGTTTCCAATCTGCAAGAGCGCCTATTAGTCATGTTCAGCGGAGTTGAGAAGGAATATCTCTCAAAATCTGATCCCGTCGTGATCTAGAGGGGTCCTTTGGCTTTTGCAAACCCTCGGAAGGACTAATTATCGCCAATGTACACAATCCCGGTTGATCCTCATCCACCAAATTTTCGCTGACACTGTTGTTGTATAATAGTTCATGAGTCACTAACACTGATAGGAAGAAGCAAAATGTGTAAAAAATACACTTTGGAGCTCAGTGTATGGTTGAAACATCAGGAATACGCGGCCAAGACATCGATCTCCCAGTCGCAACGTTTGGATACATGCTTAAATTTTTAGTATGATACTGACCTCAACTGGTTTGGAATTGTGGTGTAGTTATTGTATGGCATCTTACGTTCAAGTAGATTCGTGACCATAATTTTTTTGACATTAAACAACTTTCATTACTTCAAACTCCGCGATGAGGAGAAATTTTTTGTTATGTACATAATACTACTTATTGTAGGATTTGATAGTTCTTTGGATGTCAAATGTATTCTGCCATTTTGCCAAGTGAAAAACCATTCATGCCACTTATTTTCTTATGCTGTTTTGGTCTTTGATGGATTCTTTGGCTGTCATCATTTTTTTTCTCTTTTGGTGTCTGTCTGACTCTGTGTGTAGGGGTGTTCATAACCGAAAAATCGAACCAAACCGAAAAAAAAACCCGATACTTTTTAAGTTTGCTTTGGTTTTGACTTTTAAAACCGATCAGATTTGGTTTGGTTTTGGTTTTAATAAAAAAATAACCGAAAACCCCCGAACCAAACCGACTATAGAAGTATCTATTTAAAAAAAATTAAAAAAATAAAATATATATTATGGTACATATTAGTCGTTTGTATTTTTAGTCTAGTTCTTTGCTATTTAATAATCTAATTCTTTGCCTTTACATTTTAGTTTGATTGGTAGTTTTCTTTTGCTAAATACAAGAATTTATTTCACGTTAAAAATAATCGATTTTTAATTGAGTATTTAAATTATTCATCACTATTTAATTTAATTATCATCAATATATCTTGGTAAATAATAGATTTCTCAAAGAGCAATTGGTTTGATAGCGTTACGTTGAAAATGTAGTCGACGGGATATGTGTTTGGTAGTGTATGTCTCGTGTTTAAGAAAAAAACAAAAAAAAAATGACAAAAATCGAATCGATAAAAAACCAACTTAATTGGTTTGATTTGATTTGATTCTAATATTTGAATAACCGAAAATTTTTTATTTTGGTACTATGATGTCCGGTTAAGCACACACTTCAATCAATTGAAATGTGTACTTATAATACTTCTACAGACTTATGAGTCTTTACAAATTTAATAAATCTTGTACTTATTACCAAGCTTTTTATTATATCAATAAACTTTTTGTACCAAGCATGTTTTTATTTTATTTTGACAAAAAAAAATAAAAATAAAATCATACATTTTTTGTTTTTTTTTGTTTACTCTTTTGAATAAAATCTTACTGCCTCTGGTTCATTTTAAATGTTTTAAAATATTCATTAAAAAATCATTTAATAATATTAATCAAAAGGATTCTTTAATTATATTATGCTTTTATCTTTTCTAATTTAGAAAATCCTATAAATCATTTAGTGGAGTATTTGGTAAATTTGAAGGAAAAAAGAAAGTAATGCTTTCTTGGTTTCCTAAAATAATATAATAAATTAGTACTTATATTGGACAAAATTTGTTTAACTAAAACCACATTTATAATGATCTGAATGAAGTATAGTAAACAAGTCTAAATTATTCTTATCATATCTTCATATCTGCTAGTCTGCTACTAATTAAAAAAAAGTATTTGTCAATTTGTTTTGTTTTGTTTTGTTATTACATNGGTCGCCCCTCTTTATCTCACGCCTCCATTGTTTTTTCTTCCAAATTCCTCAGACAGAGAAAAAAAACACAAGCATTGAACTAGTCCCTTCTCAATTCACCATATTTGCTTCGCCCATCGATCTGCAACTATAGCTTCAACTTCAACTATAATAAATTAACCCTAAATCTCATACACTTAACATTCTCTTTTTGTCAAGAGGTTAGTTAATCTTCGTCTTTCTTCTAATCTCATTTGCTAATAGTACTTATCTGCTTTTAATCTCTTGCAAATCTTACCCCCTGTTAGATTTTGTTAATTTCACGGATCCCATGCCCTAATAGTTAGCTCATATTATGATTCTGGTTTTATTAGATGCTTAAAATTGGTGTAGGACAGTAGTGTAGGAATTATTTTTTCTTTTCTGCACATAGTTTGAGCTTTAAACGATTACTGCCAGTGGTTGGTCTATAGGGTTGAGGTGCAATTTTATCTTATAACAACTAAGTTTTTAAATGTGTTTAGCAGAATTATTAGATAACAATTGCTGGAAAGTACAATTTTTTTCCTTTTTATCACACATAAAGTTTTATGTTACGTTATTGCGTAGGCCGTAGTGGTCAATGAAGTGGGAGGAAAACCATGAGGTCTTAGGTTTAATTCCTAGTGGAAGCAAAAAGCACTAGGTGATATTTTTCCATTTACTTGAGCCTTAGTGCGCAAAGTTACTCGGTACATGTGCTAGTGAGAGGTAGCAAGTATCTGGTGGAATAGTTCAGGTGCGCGCAAGCTGGCCTAGACACCACCGTCAATTTTTTTTATGTTATTGTACGCAGGGTTGTGGAATAGAGGCAGATGCAGCCTTTGTATACTGGCTTCAACTTAATCCAGTATTGTCGACACATAACATAAATATGTATGTGAAAAACCGCTAAATTTCAACATATTTTAAATTTTGAATTCATAATTCAGAAGTACGTTAATTCAGTCTAGGGACGTTAAAGTTGAAGCCATAACGTTTAAATCCTGAATCCGATTCTTTTGGGGAAATCATAATAACTCCCTTTCTAGTAATATGAGAGGAAACGAATCTTGTGACATCAGTTTTAACATATAATAAACCAAGGTAGGTATAGGGAGCGTTTATCAGAAGAAAGATACAAGTGAGAGAACAAAACCATAATAGAATTTACTCCAAAAGAAAAAAGAATTAGAGGTCGTCCAGGTCGTCCACTTATTGAATAAAAATTATAAGTAAAACAACTGCATTTGTCTTCTTAATTTTCTTGTATATTTTATGAACTTCTACAATGGATTGAATAGAAAAGTTCATACATATATTTGTGGATGGATTCTAAAGAGTGTCGTAGGTACTCTTCTCTTTTCTTTTTGCTTTATGTTGGTTGAACCTTTGCTTTGGATGCAGTGTTACATAATCTGAGATGAAACCGAGTTCATAGAATTCTGAGCTAATGTAGGGCTGAGAAGGGTCCATGCTTGAGATCTTATTCGACTGAGGAAGAGCTTGTAGTTTGAGCTGAAGGTAGAGACAGAATGTATGGTAGATCAGGGCTTGATCGATTTAAGAAAGCTCAGTCATTGGAGCCATTTCAGGTGTCTGCGAATTCAGCTGCTAAACCAGCATTGCAGCCTACTACAAAGGCGGTTACACATCCTTTTCCAGCATATGCACAATCCACAACATCTCATCAACAAACTCAATACGTAAATCCACAACCTGCTTTGCAGAAATCCGTGGCGGCAGATGCAACCGCTTCTACAGTGCCAACTCATCATGTCACTCATGGAGGGGGACAATCAACTTGGCAGCCTCCTGATTGGGCTATTGAGCCACGTCCAGGAGTTTATTATCTTGAGGTGATCAAGGATGGTGAGGTACTCGATCGAATTAATTTGGATAAGCGAAGGCATATCTTTGGACGGCAGTTTCATACTTGTGATTTTGTCCTTGATCATCAGTCAGTCTCACGCCAGCATGCTGCTGTGATTCCTCACAAAAATGGAAGGTGTGACACATGATCCTGCTTTTTCTTATCTAGTTTTGAACATGTTCTTTTCTTGTTTTGTGGCTAGCTTGTTAAGAGAAGGAGAAAGTAATGGAGTATTAAACTAGAATACCACATAAGAAGAATATAACTCTATGATGATGTACTCGGAATATGTTGTGCAATTCATGTTTATGCATTTTTTTTTTCTTTTCTTCTCTTTTTCTTTTTGTGTGGAGAAAAGGTAAGTTCATGTTTATGCATTTCTTCCTCGAGTCAAAATGAGTAAGTAAAAGACTTAAGCAAGCTTAGGCATAAGGGCCATGGTTCCCTCACTAATAAATCTCTAATGATGTCTTTATGTTGACTTCAACATTTAAATGTTCTTGCCTAACATTCTTACTGAAGCTATTATAACTTTTTTGCCTTGTAGGCAATGGATGTTTCTTACTTTCCTACTTCTAGCTGATGTTTTACCCATTGGTACTTAAAAACTTTAAGCTCTTCTTCATATAAAGGCTATTAGTTGTATAAAGTTGCATATTTTTGAAGATTTACAAATATTACCCCATACAGACTGAAGAAAAGAGAAACTGTGGTTTTATTAGAGATTGCTCAAGATTATTTCGAAATCTATTGTAAGTTTGTATTTAAGTGTAAAATTTGGGACATCAAGAATGTCATTATCTGTAAATATCATCTATCAAGATCATCCAATTCTCATGAATTAGACCATCTGACCCCATTTAGATTTCAGTAATAAAGGTGATAGTTTGACTGCAAGTGTTTTTTAAGCAAAACTTTCTCGGTTACCAATCGAAAAAGATGATAGTTTGACCGCATACTGTTAAAGTCACTTGTCTGTGGTGAGAATTGTTATCAGTACAATGATTTGCAGTATTCAGTTCATCTCCTGCACATCTTTCGACGTAGAAAAATGCTCTTTCTTGGGCACGAGATTGCCTTCCCTTAGATGTAGAATGGGCTCTTCTTACCTCTTGCAGTTTGACCTGCTTATATACTTTATTACATTGACTGCACGTCTTTAGACATAGAATGTGCCCCTTTTTGGAAACCATACTGCATATCCTTAGATGTAAAGCTGCTCTTCTTAGCTCATGTCGGTTGAACTAGTTATATTTTTTCTCTGCAGCATTTATGTGATTGATTTAGGATCTGCACATGGAACATTTGTAGCAAATGAGAGGCTAACAAAGGATTCCCCTGTCGAACTTGAGGCCGGACAATCTTTGAAGTTTGCTGCATCAACAAGGACTTACATCTTGAGAAAGAACAATGATGCTCTCTTCCCTCCTCCACGACAACCTGCAGAAATAGATTTACCGCCACCTCCAGATCCTTCAGATGAGGAAGCTGTTTTGGCTTATAACACCTTTTTAAACCGCTATGGGCTTATGAGGCCTGATTCATTGTCAAAATCAACAGTATCAACTAGTGGGGAGGATGTCAACTATTCATCTGACAGGCGCGCGAAAAGAATTAGGAGAACAAGTGTGTCATTTAAAGATCAGGTTGGAGGAGAGCTAGTTGAAGTTGTTGGTATTTCGGATGGAGCAGATGTGGAGACAGAACCTGGTCCATTGGGTGTGAAAGAAGGAAGTCTTGTCGGAAAATATGAGTCCCTAATAGAAACTACAGTGATACCGAAAGGGAAAGAACAGTCCTCTGTAAAGGATGCCACCGTTACCCAAACAGGTGTAACGGACAAACTTAAACAGGTATTGAACAAGGTGAAAAATCCGCCAAAGGGTGGAATTTACGACGATCTTTATGGAGAATCAGCTCCTGCTAAAGTGGGATCTTGGGCATATTCTGATTCCAGTCAGACAGCTTCTACTAACGACGCTAAAGGAGACTCCCCTTGTTCTTTACGCAGAATCTCTGGACATATCTCAAGCAATGTAGACGACGATACCGATGATTTGTTTGGATAGTAAATGCATTGCTGCATGAGGTGTCTCTAGTAGATTGAATGATGTTATAGTCTTTATGTTGTTATTCTTATTCTTCCTTTTCCTGGCATGCACCAACAAGATTCAATTTTGAACTGAGTCTTAACCTGTTAGAGCACTGAATCTGTGACTTGAGATTAATGGAAAAAAGTGTATGTTATCTTTTCCCATTTTCATTTTGTGCAAAACAAAAGGTCATAATGCTAATGTGGTGCTTTTTGTTGTATGATCAGTAAATACAAAATTTATTAGGAACTATTAAAACTTGATCTTGGGCTGTGTTGCTCTAGTGGGAGAGTGATTTGCTGAAAGCATTCTTTCAAGACACAAGCAATTCTTGCAAAATTACTAGCCTGTTTGGCCAAGCTTCTTCCAAGGCCAAATGTGCTTTTTTCCCCCAAAAATATATTTTCCCCCAACTTAAGGTGTTTGATCAAGCTTTTTTGTGAAAAAAAATGTTCTTGGGAAGAAGCAGAAGCATTTTCTGAAAAGCAGAAAAAGGTAGCTTCAACATAGAAGTTTCTGAGAAGCAGAAAAAGGTAGTTTTAACATAGAAGTAGAAGCAATTTTGACTTGTCCTCTTACCAACAATATCCTTAACAAAATATAGTATATATAAAAATAACCTTACTTATTTTAGACCTAATACTTAGGATATTAATGTATAAGTGTTTCTTCTTATTTTTAGGATAGCTTTCTAATATATAGTGACTTCAGGGGTGAGTGCTTTTATATTTGTTGAATGATTTTTTAATATTTAAATCATTCTAAAAGAATTAAATACTTTTTAATTTTATTTTTATATTCTACTTAAATAAAATAAAAAGATTCAATTATTATTTTTAACGATAAATTTTTGAGATTATTTATTTACTTATAATATTAACTATTAAGTAAATCTATTCATGTGCTTATTCGTAGTTTGATACTTAAAAATACTTTTTGAAAAGTTTGGCTAAACATAAATTATTGCTCAAAAGTGCTTTTCAGATTGATTAGCCAAACACAAAGTGATTCTCTTCAAAAAAGTACTTTTCAAAATAAGCTAATTTTTACCGCTTGGCCAAACAGGCTATAAATCCAACAACAATTTGTTTTCAAAAACCAAACCAAACCAAAAAGAAACCAAAGCTTTTCCTAGTCTGAATGCCACATAACATCAATATTAAATCAAGAAAACGGTCAATTTGTTTTGCAAGTGACTCTATTTTATACACTGAATATACAATAGAATAAGGAATAAAATAGCGAATAAGGTAGCGAACCAACTAAGAGAAGCAACCAGAACTCAGAGGTATGTTGGTAATACATTATCTTCGTGTCAAAGCTCTCTTTTTTACAGTTTTAGTGTAATCTAACCGCTAGAATTTGTTAAATATTTGACAGAGACCAAAAGTGCTCATTTTTGTCAAACTTATCAGGCTCAAAATTACTCAAGAGTATATTTAAGGGATCATTTTATATCTACCACAAAAATAAGGAACCATTTTGTCATTTTCTGGATTTTTCGTTAACTAAACCATGATATAGGGAAAATACAAAAACTTAACCATGATTAATTGATAAAAAGCTTACAAATTTGGGTATAATTATGCTCATTGTATGAGTTTTTGATCCATATTGTCCCTTATCTTTGATGGTAGGTCTATTTTGGTCCCTCAAATATAATCCTGAGCATATTTAGTCCCTCAAGTATGCTAAAGTGGTGCATATTTAGTCGCACTGACACAATATGTTCAAAAACTAACGGTACTACCTAACTCTGATTCATGAAGGCAATCTTCTGCTCTGAAGCAAAATGTTTCCTCTCATTTTATTAANATATATATATATAAAATATACAAATTTTATATATTTTTTTGGTTATTATTTTTATAGCAGCTATATAGTGTTATTTTCTCATTGAAAGCTGGCACAGAAGGGGATATTTTCATGGTCAAAATTTTAGAAGACATTATCTAATAATGAGGAATTAAAGTGATAATTTGAGTTATCCAATAAAAGAAGAGGAAATATTTTGATTGCAGAAGATTTGCTTCATGAATCAGAGTTGGGTAATACCATTAGTTTTGAACACATTGTGTCATTGAGACTAAAGGTGCTCCACTTTAATATACTTAAGGTGCTAAATATGCTCAGGGCTGTATTTGAGGGACCAAAATAGACCTACCCTACAAAATAAGCCACCATATTGGCCAAAAACTCCTCATTGTACTACACGCTGCTCCACTCTTTCGTGCCTTCACACTTTCTATTAAAAGTTTCACTTTCTCCGGCCAAATTCCACTATCTTTTGTTCTTTCCCAGGTAAATTTAATTTTATTTTTTTCCATATAATTTCGCTATAGAGCTGAATAAATTGATCTTTTATTGGATTTTTTTACACTTTCAGTTTAACGATAAATCCACATTTTTTGTAGTATATACTTTGCATGTCATTTGATAATCAAGGTGTAATTTGTTGTTTGGTTTTAAGTGTTTATTATGGTTTTGTGACAGTGAACATTAAGAATGGCGGAAAAAGGAGGAAAAGGGTTTTCTCTACCAAAAAATGGAAAGTCTGCCCTCAAATCTCCTGGTAAAACAATTCGCATTTTTCTTCTTTCTTCTTTTTGCTGTGACTTGTTCCTGGTTCTAGTAATTATTAGGGCGGAGTTGCTCAGACAGTGTATTTGTGTTTAAAAATTCATTAAATATGTACAAATATTAAATTTAGAACCCAGTTATTAGCGCTTGAAGTTGTCGTTCTGAAATCTAGAACCTATATAGTTGAAATCTTGGCTCCGCCATGTTTAATTTATACATGCCTTCTACTAGGGGCAGATTGAGGTTGAAGAAAGTCCTTGAAAAATTACACTGTGCAAATAGAGCAAAAAGAAAAAAAGACATCGAAACCCCTTGACATAAGGAAAAATTCTAGTAAATTGGCAAAAGGGGTTCAAAAATTGCTTTAAGTCATAGGTTATTATTATTTTTTAAATCCCTTGTATAAACGACTGTATTCGACGGTTCTGGTGATTATACATGCCTTCCAATGTAACAATTACCCAGTAGCTTTTGCTTAAATCTTATTTGTATTAAGAAACTCATTAAATATGGATTGAATTATGTGAACCAATTAACAAAGATGAGCTGTGGGTTCAGCGGCAAGTTAAGAACCCACAAACTTCAAATCCTGGTTGCGCCTCTGTGTAACATAGACCCCTATCGGTGATTTTTGAGTTCTAAGTCTTGGCTTATTTGGACCGTGACTGTTAAACAGGTCTTTAAAACAGTAAAATTAATGTGACTTGTGATAGCCAATGAGATGCTTAATTCTGGAGTCAAAGGAATCTCTCACATGATAATGGAGAATTAAGCTCTAGGATCCACATGATAGCAGTAGCACTGGATATATGGAAAATCAATTAGAGAATCATATGCTCTAGGACCCAACAGATAGTTCTCAAATGCTTGTGTTTCACTGGCTGATTAGTGCAATTTTTCTGTTTGATGGATCGAGAACTTAAGTAGAAAGATTTAGTACAAGATATGGATGGGAAGAGGTACTCACTAGAATTTGTTAGCAAAAGAAAGAAGAACACTAGTTACACTTATCATTCTAATTCCTTAGTGAAACAGTCTGAGCGCAGTTGAAAGATCTGTGTGTTTCGTTTATATTTAACTTGGTACATTGACTTTGAAAATCTTTGCATTTTTAATCTCTCAATGCATCTTTGACCTCTTTGGTTTTGAAGCACGCACGTCTTTGACTTCTTTTCTGTAGCTTCCAAAGGGAAGGATGATATCTCAGCGAAATCAAAAAGAGGAAGGAAAGTTCAGTTTGATTCTGAAGGTTAGGTTGGTTCCTGGTGTCTTATGGATTTCACTTCACCTGTTTAAACAGCAAAAAAGAAAAAGAAAAAAAAGATTATTGTTTTGAATATGCTTGTAATTCAATCATTTTTCTGGGAAATCTGCTACTTGAATATTACTGATGCTGCTCAATGTCTATCATTGAATAGGATCACTGGATACCAATTTCACAAAATCGAATGGAAAAGCTGATCAACCATCTTCCAAAGGTTAGACTTTCATATGCTTTCCATGGATGCATCAGTAGAAGTGTGAAATATGGTGCTCTTTTCTTGTCTATATTATACTCCTATCTTTGTGATTTTGATCATGTTCTGTTTGTGATTGGCCTTATTGATGGGAATATGCTGGAATTGTTCTCTTCCTGATATGCATATTGTCATTGCCTAGGTGTTTCCGGCAAAGGCGGTAAAGGAGAGAAAGCTGGCAGTGCTGGTAAAAGTCAAACAGCAAAAGCACCTGGTCCTTTGGAGCTTAGAGTTGAACAAGGTTTTCCTTCAGTTCTGATTCTCTTTTCCAGCTTGAACATGAAAATATAATTTTCTTGTCAGATACTTGTTAATGGAAAATTTTGGTGTCAGTTGTTATTTCATTTATGATTTTCTACCTTTTCTACCTTTTTCCAATTATAGACTTATTCTTTTTGCTCTTGCTCCTTTGCCTTCAGAATTTTTTAATACTGCTCCATCTACCCCAAATCGGACCACCTTTTTTTTGGCCTAGTCCCTTAATATCGATCTCTTTCTTAAGGAAAGTGTTACAGCATATTATGTGATGCAGGAAAGGTTATAGTAGATCTACACTTTCAATTTTATATAACCTCTCTTGGCTATCCCTATTGAATGAAAAAGTAGTGTGCCCCTGCAACATGTTCCTCCAATCAACATTAAAAGTGCATATCGAGTCTCATGTTAATAATTATACAAAGTCAAAAGCAGAATTAAATTTGCAAAGGAGACCCCACTTATTTTATTAGGAAAGTATCATGTGAATGTTTGTGGATTTACCAAAGAATTGCTGCTTACTGCCCATGAGTTTCATTAGCATTTTGGATTCAGTGAAGAATGAATATCGATTTGTCATATGCATCCAGAATTTGGAAGGAAAAGAAAATACTATCTCCGTTCAAATTTATGTGAACCTATTTGACTGGGCACGGAGTTTAAGAAAGAAATGAAGAGTTTTAAAACTTGTGGTCCTGAACAAGCCATAACATTTGTGTAGCTATATTTCTTTTGAAACTTGTGTGTTAAACATGAGAGTGTTTCTGTAGCTATAAAAGCTTCTCACTGAGGGTAGAATTGCAAGTTTAAGTTACATTGTTCCAAATTTAGAGAGAGGTCATTCTTTTTGGAACAGACTAAAAAGGAAGTAGGTTCACATAAACTTGAACGGAGGGGGGTATGTACTTGTCGAAGAAAAAATAAAACAAAAAAGGATAGATGTGCTTGATGCAAGCAAGTTGAATTTGATTGCTAAATCTCTTGATTTACGTTAATTAACCAACACTTTGGGCATCTTAAGCTAGTTTTACAGGAACTTCTGCTGATTTGGCTGAATTTTCAAGGATTTAATATCGGAGAAACTTGTGTTTTAATTTTTTGGGAAATTCTGTGATAATACTGTAATGAATAGACCTTGAATCAATACTTAGAACCTGCACTAGTGGGAGGTAGCAGGTACCCGGTGGAATAGTCGACGATCGCACGGGCTGGCCCGAACATCACCGTTATTAAAAAAATAGACCTTGAATCTACTATCTGATATCTTATCTGAAAATAATGCTCCACACAGTATGTTGAGATTCTTCTTTAGATGAAGTTGAGATTTGGACCTTAGTCTGGGACTCTGGTGTTGCTTTGCTAGTTCTGTGTCTATTGCATTTGCTGAATCAAGTGGTAAATGGCTTAAGATATGAGTAGACTACTTAAGTGTCGATTCTGTTCTAATTTTCCTTCTAAGAATCTCTTGATTTATATTCAGAACTTCCGGACAATACGGCATGCCTGATGGACTGTGAAGCTGCTGATATTTTGCAAGGAATCCAAGAGCAAATGGTGGTATTGTCTGAAGATCCAGCTATAAAACTACCTATGTAAGGGAGTGCATGTTTGTTCTGCTGCCTTTTTTTTTCTTGTCAGGAATAGATCTACTTTTCTTCTCTCTGTCGCTTCTTGTGGAAGGACAAGACGAGAATTTACCTGCCTAACAGTTTGAACTTGTTTGCTACCAGTTCATTTGACAGGGGATTGGCCTATGCACAAAGGAACAGGCTTTACGATAATCCCGAGATTGTCAAACAAATACTCAAGTATCCTTGTCCTTTTATTATTAAAAAAGAAAAAAGAACCTTTGTATGGCATGTTATAATTGTCTCTTGAAAATTTTCTAGTGCTGGTTTTCATTTAACTCAGATCAGACCTCTAAAGGAGCATGGTGTTTCCGATGGGGAGGTATCAAATCTAGACCTGTTAATACTTGATTTTCTACATGTGAGGCAATGTTTTCATATTTCAATTGTTGTATGGATGCAGCTCTGCATGATTGCCAACTTTGCCGTGGAATCTGTTGAAGAAGTATTTGCTCTTGTTCCCTCACTTAAGGTATGGACTGTACTGTTCTGAATCATATTCTGGATGTTGATTTTGTTTTAAAGACATGCTACCCAAAGCTTTGTCAGTTCCAATCTGACATTTCAAGACTCCATCCTCCTCCTTTTTCGGATTTGGCTGATAATAATGAATACATATGGGTGTTGAGGTTGCTTTCAACTGCTGCTATTGATTGAATTTTAAGTTTGACTAGACAAGGACCATAATAGCTATAATTAAGATTCTTAAAGAACCTTCTATCTTGGTACTAACAATAGATGAGAATGACACTATAAATACGCACACACAGTAATATGGTTCATGCTCATTTCTACATAGACAGCTGAGTGATATGAGTGGATAATTACTGCTGCAAGACTGTTAGTTTCACTAACACTAAAAATAAAAATAAAATAAAAAAAGAGGAAAAGGAATTATTGCTTTTGGTCTCAATATCTGTTTCAGTGTCGAGCTTTTTGTACAATGGTTGCGTCATTGGTTGCACAGCCAATTTGTAGGTGTTCGATAGCATTGACTGCTATATCTTTCAAGGTTCTTGGCAACTATTTGCATATTGTGCTCTGTTTATATCATTTTGTTTAGTTCGTGTACTTAGCATTGCATTAAGATGGTCTTTCTAATGCTGCTGCGAAATATTCTAGACTAAAAAGAGCAAGCTGAGAATTCCCCTCAAGAATGTCTTGGGTGAACTAGCCAAACTTAGAAGGCCAGCGTAAAGGGGGCTCAAAACGAGCATTATATGGTAATGTCATCATTTTACTTCGATTTATATTGTGCAAATAAGAATTTCAACTTCCAGAAGATGATTTTATTCCAAGGCAGTTCCCTATAGCTGTAATGTTGCTAAATGCAGGTATGTTTGTGGTCAGGTATCTGTACAGGGTTCTGCATTATCGCTAAAGGGCATGTCCGACAGTTTAGGCGACCAGCAACAGAAGTTTTCTTTCTTATTTTACCTGTCATTTGTTCTGGTTATTAGCTAGGATTTTCAGCGGCAGTGTAAATCTGTTGATCGCGTCGTTCTTCTCTTCTGATTCCCAAAAGAAAATGCCCTCTAATTGAATGACTCTTTCCTGCCAAGAAACAACAAACGGATGAAAAAAGTAAAAGTTGTGTTTCCTAGTAGCTATTGAAAACATTGCCAAAACTTGATGCAGAAACCCCCCCCAAAAAAGACTTGATTTTAGCTATATTGTTGTGCTAATGCATAAGATTTTGGTGAGATAACTGAATCTGAGGCCATGAATGATTGAAGAATGAAGAAGTTTACAAAGTCGATTTTTATTTTGTTAGTTAATAATTCTGTCCAATTTTATCGGTTTATATGAGAAATTGAAAATTGAGAATATGATCAAGTGATTATTTATTTTAAAAACATAAATTAGAACGACGAGAAGAGAATTTAAACTAAGAGATATATCACTAGAGGAAAAGTTCAAGTAGAAAGGGTTCAAACCTTCAAAATGATTCATGTTTTGGAAACTCTCATTCAACTAAATATTACTCAGCAAGAATTTAATTAAATTTAATTAATCATGGAGAATAATCTCTAAAAACATAGATTATGCATTCAATGTGACAAACGAAATTCCTTCAATAAATCATCATATAATGAAGCACGAATTTAATAACACCGAATATATGTTTAATCCCTAATATAAGTGTTATAGTATTTCCACATTTATTGTATTTGAGTAGGAAAATAATGTAGAATATTCAATTGTTAAACTTATGTAAAAAAGCTCTCTTCTTATCTAGTCTCTCAGTTTTCTCCCACCTTTTATCTTGTTTCACAATTTTCTCGTTTCTTCTCTTCGTTTCACATCAGTAATTTGTCTGTAACTTCTTCAATATGTTTTTTCATGTGGAATCTTCATAATTTTTATGTAGATCGTGAACATAAATGCATTCTTAAGACCTGAATATTAGTATTTAGATCAATACATTTACATTGCAAAACTCGCATCGCTTAATTAAGCTCCTAATTAGAGCATCTAAATGAATTAGATCTAAAACATTCAAGGTGACCCAAAATCAAAATGTCATTTAGGAGATGCTACAGCTTACAAATAGGAGCGGCAAACGGGCGGCTTGGGTCGGATATGGTTCATGTCAAAACGGGTAACGAAAAAATGGATAAATTATCCATTGGTTATCCATTTTCTAAATGGATAATATGATTTTTATCCATATTTGACCCGTTTTTAAAAAGTTCATTATCCAAAGGTTACTGTGTTCACGGGAACCGTAACTATTGAACTGAATCTACCCCTGTTCTTAACCATTTTGCCACCACTACTTACAAACAAAAGTCTAAAGACTCCAAAATGTTTTCAAAGAGCTAGCAAATTGTTTATGAAGTCTTTGAAAAACATCCAATTCTCTGTTTTTTTTACTTTCGAGATTGAAGAATCATAGGCATCAATGCATAAGCTCAACACACTTCAGGATCCTAAATCGTGAGCCGAGGAGCCGAGCGACGTGCCAGCGATAGTAATTCATGAGTGCCAACACCTAGTTGTGCTGTCAGTAAGAAGGCAGCCGACGCCTTTCGAAATACTTTTAATTTCTAGTTTGCTATTTTTTATTGCAGCTAGAGCGCTTGACTAATAAAATATAAAGGGCCTTTCTTGCTTGTTTAGTAAAGTCAAGTTTTTGGCCTTATCTTGTAGGTTACGACAACGTCGAGTTGATGGCAGAGAAAGACTCGGCATTCAGGCGAGTTTTCATAGGCACCATTGTAAAGACGTGAAACTATAAATTGGATTCAGTTCTAAAATTGCCGCTATAACAAACAAAAAGGAAAAGAAAAAAAATAAAAAATTCAGTGAGTTGTATGAATCTTATTTTGCTAAAAAGTGTTTAATAATCTATTGTTGTGAATCAAACATCTTTTAATTTTTTTTCCAACTAAATATGAAAAAAAATTGAGAGGTATCTCAGTGTGCATCTTTTTTTTCTTCCTTTTATGTTGAGATAGAAGGTAAGCCCTGGCGTAACTGCTGACATGTGACACGTGTCCTATTCCAACACACAATCACTTTTTGCAACTAATTAAGGAGAAGAAGAGATAAAAAATTAAAACGAATGATTTGTTTTAGAAAACATGAGGATTGATTTTAAGTGCTTCGCTTCATAATAGTAAAATAATTATTGACAAGTTTTCGATGGTGGTGTATTAACATTTGCATTCGTCTTTTATGTCATTTATTTCCGATACACCAACTACCGAACCCACTAGTAATATTATATATTTATATTATATATTTTAGGCCTGCATGATTTTAATACGCGTCATTGAAATTTAAGATTTATAACATCTCACCCGTTTTCTATTGATGTGGAATCACTAGCGATATAGTTTTGCACAGAGAAGGTAAATTCTTTTTAGGTTCCAAAGGAAACAATAATCAACAACAAATGGGACGAAATTTTATATGAATGGGCAAGTTTTTCTAAATATAAGTTACATAATTTCTACGTCTTTGTATAAATCATCAAGATTGGTACATAAATTGTACACAGAATACTCAAACTACTTTTTCTTCTGAAATAACTTTTAATACCACTATAGAACCTACCCTATGCAGTATAATTTCATTTTTAATAGCAGCTAGCTATTAGTTTCAAAAGATTGGAACTCTTAACCCCTCCACCCCGACACACACAACACAGTATAATACTACAAGTGAAGTCCGGGGAGGGTAGTGTGTACGCACACCTTAACCCCCCACCACCCAAAAAATAAAACCAAACCTCCAATCACATCAAGAATAACCAAGCATCCCAAAGAATAATCAACACTGAGATCCAATTGTTGTGCAACATAAAACCTGAGGAAGTAGTATGATCACTAACCCCAACAAGAAATCTGCACTCGCCAATCGAAGGATTCAAGAAAGTAACCATCCCGAGCCCATCAAAATCACAGCTCCGCGGATTCTGCTTTTGCAGTTGATAGTAACTGTTGAATGCATATGATATATTACCCTTTGCTCCAATTCCGTAACATGATCCTCCATAATTAAGCGTCGTGCAATCCGCATAACTACAAGCAATTTTGAAGTGGTTGGCCGCTTCAGCAAGATTTTTGTAAGGGTTTGCAACACACCACCTATATGGGAGATACTGAACATCCTTTGCGTTCTTTAATGGACCATTTCCGAGGTTCAATGGATATTTCGACTGGCCATCGAAAGAGAAAATGCCCCAGTGTCTCTCAAAGTTACCCGGAAGAACACTTTTTGCACCTTCATCGAAAAGACTGAAAAGATAAACGTCCATAGGGGGAACCCCTGGCCTAAGAGGAGTTCCTTTGTTGCTAAGAACATGTTTCGCAAGGCCTTGGTTGAAGACCCTTGCAGCTGTAAGATTAGCACTGATGGCGCCATCCGTAGGCCAACCTACCTCTCCTATAACTATAGGCATTTGACTGTATCCGATTTTTGCGAGGGCTGCTATTAACGTGTCCAAATTTCCATCAAACGCGTTAGAGTAGACATTAGGCCCGTCGGTCACAGCATGTGTTGTCCCTTCAAAAAAAGCATAATCTTGAGGGAAGTCTGAGTTTCCATATAGGCTGAGGAATGGATAAATATTTACCACAAATGGTGAACCGTTAGAGTTGAGAAATGAGACGAGCTGGGTAATGATTTGGGTCAATTCGGGTCGGAAGGTTCCTTGTGAAGGAAGGGAAGACTCGTAGGCATCGGCATTGCATGGTACTACCAGCTTTACATTCCTAGCAAGATTTGCTTTGGCCAAAGACTGTTGCAAATTCGTCATAGCAGGGACGACGTATGATTGGTATTGACCAGAATAACTTGTAAGAAAAGGCTCATTACCAACTGCAACATACCTGTGTTGATGTATAGCTGTCATTAGCCAAAGAGAGAAAGAAAATGAGAAGAAAAAATTGAATGACATGATATATGCTGAAGTCACGAGAAAAAAAAAGATGCAGTACTATTATAGCTTTGAACTTGTCTAACAAAGAATGCTGCACTGCTCAAGTGTCCTTCGCTGCATTGGCAATACACAACTTAACATAGGGTCGACTACTAAAAAAGGGCAGCCCGGTACACAAAGCATCTCGCGTTCACGCAGGGCCCGGGGAAGGGCCGCACCCCAAGAGGTGTAATATAGGCAGCCTACCCTGATGAAAGCATCAGTGGCTGATTCCGCGGCTTGAACCCATGACCTATAGGTCATACATAGACAACTTTATAGGGTCGACTATTGTTGAAGGAAATTTGTACCAAAAGTATGAGCCAAATGGAGGAGCAGCGTTTATAACCTCTAAATGCACTTTGTTGGGAAGTAGAGCTAGAATTCTTTCCAGCAAACTTTTACATTATTTCAAGAACATGGTACACACTCATGCTGGCATATACTAAGTTCGGGTAAAGGAACATATAAAACAAACGACAAGAAATAAAACAATGATGTTAAAACAGGGGGAGTTTAAGGAAAGAGTGAAAGAAAAACATAACATGTCTGTAAAGCTGATTTTTGTCCAGCTGAGACCTACCAAACCATTTTATATACTTATAGCATTAGCGCACCTTAGACTTGTAAAACCAAAAAAAAAATACAGCACACCAGAATCTTAAAATTAATCTTGAGATGCTCCGAATCGATACAGTATTTGAAATGACTAAAGATTATCAATAGGGAAACAGAAGAAAGTCCAAGTTGTCATTTACTCATTGGGTAAATCTCAAGTCACATCTAGATTCATCTGAACCTACTTATATTTATATCCAAACTTCTCTAAAATTTGCAGCAACATGAGAAGCTAAATTACATTCATTTATAGCACTATACCATAATGAAGGCTATCGAATCCTCCTATTTACTTTACTTGAGAAGAACTGCTACTATTAATTGGTATCTAGTCTGATTTCGGGTGTAAGTTCCACCACTTGCCATAAACCTAGTGGATCAATTAATGTTGAACTGCACTCAGAGGCGGATACAGAATTTAAACTCTATGGGTTCATCTTTTAAGGTTTTTAGCATTGAACCCATTATAGTTTTAAAGTTACGGGTTCATATTTACTGTTTTTGCAATCTTAATGAATTTTACATACAAATTTTTACTCCGTGGCGCAAGTTATGTGTTCAATTGAACCCGTCATTAATACACTACATACGCTGCTGACTGCACCAAGGAGGACCAAGCGACCAGAGGTTTAGACTATACCACTGTAACTCAATAGATGCATCTTACTCTAGTTAAACAATCTAAATAAGAAGTACCTTGTTGATTCTAG